TTAAGAGATAAAAGAGATTTACCTCCTATTATATAATTCAAAATATACAAATATCAACCATTTTTATGAACTATTAACTATTCTTAATAATCAAATTAAAATAAAAATTTAACAATTTTTGTGACCCTCACAAATTGGGCTGTTGTGATAACGACAGCCACCATTCTTTCATGACATTTACATGCCCAAATATAAAGTAAAAATACATTTCAAGGGATATCTCATGGGCAAAGGATACTAAAACCATGCCTGCAATGACCGGGAAACAAATCTTTTGTTCCCATCACTTATATAGGCAGACTGAAAGATTTTTTGTCGAAAAATTTGATCATATTTATTTTCTAATTCAGTACAACTTTTATTTCAAAAAAGTGTTCTTGCAATGTAAATTACACAACTTAAATTATTAGATGAAAACATACCATCTAATATTGTGAGTTATTCCCTATTTAATAGTTTTTATTTTGCAATTGAGTGCAGATTAAACTGCAAAACAGAGAGCTCCTTCCATTTCTTATTCATTTGAGATACGTGCATATGTATATACTGGTAGTAGCTTTACACTCGGAGTCTTCTGGCATTAAGCCTTTATACGAGAATTGTTGAGGCTTTCAAGAGTTGGCTTGGCATTCCTCACTGTGACAGTGGTTTAAACAAGTCTTCCCACTTCATCCACACTTACAAATGGAGATCTGATCTTCCACACAGACCAAAAGATTTGCAGTAGCCAAGTTCCTTGATTACTTGCATCGTTCATGCTTTGTTCAAAAATGGTGTCAAAGGAAAACCGAAAAGATTAGAAGTATTTTTGCTTTGTCTGTTTCAGTCCAAGTGGCAGGCCACGCACAAATACTAACTAGAACTTTTATCATAAGCAATGAAAACACGATCGAGGGTGTACTGGTGAAAAAGCTTGTTATTCCACGACTGAGCTATTAGAAATGCGGCAGGTAACTGGCCAGGGTAGCTCCTTGATTGCAATCTTTGAGTCTCATTGTAGCCGAACTACATGATGCATGCTATCAATCACAGTATTTCACAAGGTAACATTCCAAAATCCCATATAATGATAAGAAGGAAGCCCTAGAGGATGCTTTTCTGCCATAGTTTTAAGCTAGAAGATTGCGTAGGGCTAAATTTAATAAATAATTTATTAATTATGTAATTTATTTTAGTTTAATTTAGAAACAATTTTTTCTTTCAGAATAATCTATGAACTAACAATTTTGTTTCAAAATGGTCTATTAAACAAACATTCCGATGACTAAACTAACAGAGTTCTTTTTTTGCTGTTGACATGTGCCCCTAAACTTTTGAAAAATGTTAAATATAGTATATATATTTA